GCCCCCCTCGCTGCCGCGCTCTCCTTAGCCGACCCAGAGCGGCGCCGTCGCCTCCAAGCCGAGGAGGTCGGCGGCGGCGACAAGGAGGTGGTGAAGGACTACTTCAACAAGTCGGGGTTCGAGCGGTGGAAGAAGATATATGGCGAGACGGATGACGTCAACAGGGTTCAGAGAGATATCAGGCTTGGGCACTCCAAGACCGTTGAAAATGTGATGAAGATGCTGACCGATGAAGGAAAGCTTGAAGGGGTTACTGTGTGTGACGCTGGGTGCGGGACGGGGTGTTTGGCGATTCCACTGGCGAAGGAAGGTGCCGTTGTCACTGCTGCTGATATTTCAGCTGCCATGGTTGCTGAGGCTGAGAAGCAGGTGAGTTTTTATGAAGTAAAAAGACTGCTTCTTTGGTTGTGGGTTTTGGAGGGAAATCTCAAATTTGATGGGATTGGGCCGATTGGCAATTTGGGTTTTGGTGGAAATGGAATTTTCTTATCTGGGTTGGTGATATTTTTGCTTGAATGTGAATTGTTGATGACTAGTTTGATTTGCCCATTTGAGCTTTTGGTAACTGAAAAGCACACTGATTTTGAGCTTTTTGGCAATTGAAAAGCAAATTGATTTTTAGCTTTTGATAATCACGAACCTCAAATTTTGAATTTTTATGCAGGCAAGAGAGCAGCTTCAGTTGAGCAATCGTGGGTTCTCAGGAGGGCCAGTAATGCCAAAATTTGAAGTGAAGGATTTAGAGAGCTTGGATGGGAAGTATGACACAGTGGTCTGTCTAGATGTTTTGATTCATTACCCACAGAGCAAGGCTGATGCGATGATTGCCCATCTTGCTTCATTGGCTGAAAATAGATTACTTATCAGTTTTGCACCAAAAACATTTTATTATGATTTGCTAAAGAGGATAGGAGAGTTGTTCCCGGGGCCTTCGAAGGCAACAAGGGCATATCTACATGCGGAGGCAGATGTTGAGAGGGCTTTAAAGAAGGTTGGGTGGAGGATAAGGAAGAGAGGACTAACCACCACACAATTTTATTTTTCGAGGCTGGTTGAGGCTGTTCCTGCTAAATAAGGAAGAGAGGCCATATTTGAGTTCTGCCTTTGCTCTGATTCCTAAAAATGCTTAGGATCTTCCTCTAACAGTTTGTAAAGCTTGTTTACATGTACGTTCTCATGAATCTCATCCTCTACGTGTATGTATGGCGTGTACTATTTATACAAGATGTTGATGTATCAAACTTTTGATATTAATGACAATTGTGTGTTCTTTATATGACATTTGAATTGGTTGACTTTGATGCCAAGTTCATTGCAAGTTTATGTATGCCTTCCTGTTTCACTCTGGTTGGTTGGATGGCGAGAAACTTTTCTGAAATTTATTTCTCCTGGTTTCCATTTTGGTAGGTAGATGGCAAGAAATTTTGTTTTGTTTTTGTTTTTCTTTGGAGAAGAGATGGCAAGAAATTCATCACCAGAATGGTAGCTAGTTCCAAACAGATCAACAATCAAACCCCTAAGCTAAAAAGACTCTGTGTGATCACTGTATAGAGTCAATGACTGGTAGAAGAAGAAAGAAGAAATGAGCTTAAGATGCACTAAACAAAAACTCTAAGAAGATCCCTCCTACATGCAGCTTCTTAAGGTCTTTCACATTACCATGAAGTTTGATCATAATTTATCTGCGATTCTCACTAGAGCATCTGTGACCTTGCTGATGGCAGCAAGAAAGCTGTTACTTTGCTCCTTCCTCTGTTCCCTATCCAAATGGCAATTTATGTTACGAGCTTCAAGTTGGGCATTCAGCAGGGCGTTGTTCCTCTCAAGTACTCTGATCAACTGGTCACTGTAGTTGTCTTCACATCCGTCTATTGCCAACCGTCTCTGCTTCCGTTTCTCCTGAGTGATATGCTCTCCACATGTATTTGAGTCTAAACCCCGTTTATCTTTTATTGTGCCTGTATGATAGAAGAACAAAAAAATACAAGTTCTTAGTTTGCTCCAAGCCCAATGTATTATGTTATGACTATCTATTTAGATATATCTTTTGCATTCATATGAGGAGCTTCTGCAAGCCTTTTGCAAAAACCATAACCCGAAAGCTTATATGGTTGGACGATTATGATAGTCGAATGTTAAGAGTCATTTGGTCATGTTCGTGATGAAATGATTTGAATGCAAAGAAAATCAATATCACCTGAAGAAGGCATTGGAGTTGTGACTGTTGTTGCAGGACTGTCTTGCATCAGGTTTTCCTTCTTGGACTCTGTCTCCTCGTGCTCTGACTCCTCAGAATCTGAACATAAACCATCTTCTGCCATATCCTGTTGAAGGCCATTGGCAGCTTTTCCAGGTTCCTCCTCCTCTTCTTCTGCAGCTGCCTCTTCTGCCCCATCACCACTCTGTGCATCTGTTTGTACTGGGATAAACAATGCCAGTGGACATGCTGCTGTTGCAGTCACAGCATTTCCATCCAAGATGTTGTAAACTTCCCGATCGAAGAAACCGGGAAGCTTCCTCTCCTTCCTCACATCATTTCTCATCACCCAAAAAGACTCAGCCGCTCCTTTTATCTGTGACTCCCAGTTCCTGATTTTCTTGAAATCAACAAGAAGATTGCTCCATCTTTTCCTGCACTGAACTGGCTCTCTGCTCACACCTCGCTGCTTACAGTATGATGAGACCAGATCCCACTTTGGTTCAAAATGGTCGGACCCCAAGGCTGAAGAAGATCTGCTGCGGCCCTTCTGAACCGCATTCTCCACGACCTTCTTGCCCTCTATGAGGACAAACGTCTCGTGCCTGGTCCATCGAGGGTGTCGTTTGGCTCTGTCGTCGCTGCTCCCATTCGGCACCTGCTGTCTGTCAACTTGGTCAGGTGTAGTAGAGCTAGCACCTTCATGTTTGTTTGAGTCTAATGCCATGAGGAGCCAAAAGGGTGCTCTTATTAGACAAAGTTTTGGTTAGATCAGAGGACTGTTCCAACAAGGAGATGTAAACTTTTGGGACGATGGCTACTCCTTCCTATATGTAATTCAGTGTCCACTGTCCTCCATTTATTGGAAACAATCCTATTTTTTAAGTAAATTTACAGCCTACTCTTCACTTGTTCTTTCCTGTGGTCACTGGCGAATTAATATTCTTCCATATAGGGCATCATCCCTCCTTATAGGTCACAGGTGCATCACTTGTTTAGGCACTGCTAATGGAAAATTTTTTGACAAGTTTTTCGATATGATTGTAGCACCGCTACATAACGATCTCAATCCATCCATGTTCTAACATGAATTAGTTAGCTACCGCTCATATTGTAACACCACGTATCAGTGTTACGTGATACACATAATTTTTTTTGTAACTCATGTAATTCATATGGGGTATCTTATGCGTTTGGCGTTACCTAATCAGTTTTCCAAGTCTTAAGGAAATGCCTTACGAGCTCAGATGTGTTGGTCAATCATCAGTTAAGGAAACTAAAAATTATTATTATTTTCTGTCAAACAAGGAAACTACAGATTTTCGTGCATGCATATTGACAAATCATTCATTCCTGATAAAGGAGAAATCGTGTTTAGAGACAACGGAAGATGCCAAAATTATATCATTATCTTCAAATCGTCATAATAGAAGAAAAAAATAAAATAATTATGGAAATATTAGCAGCTGTCATAACATCATCAATATATTTGCAATAGAACATTCATACCACACAGTTATCCATACAAACAATACCACGTATTGAAAAGGAAAAAAGTTTTTTCTATTTTAATACCCTTTTTTTTATCATTGAAGAATGAAGGTTAAAACTTAAAATCTCTTCTACACTTGAAACAAAAAATACTTTTAAATTAAGAGTTAGTGTTCGTTTGATATTGCTTATTTGGGGTGATAAGTGATGTTTAAAAAAATTTGGGAAACCCAGCTCATTTGGTAAACTATGAAAAAATCATTTATTGTTAAAAATTTATGCGAGAGAAAGCTATAAGTGAAAGCAGCTAATGAAGTATTTTCATTTTCTGATTATGCGAGAATCAATTTCGAAGAGGTGTTAGGTGTAATGATTATGCGGGAATCAGTACCAACAACACTTTTAATAAAAAAATTTACCTTTCTTTCAAAGCAAATCTGACAGCGATTATTTTCACAACACAATAATATCAAACGGTTAGTCAGTTTGTTATACTTGAATATTAAATTTAGAGTGTTGCTATTTCCACCACCTGTCCTATTTTCTCACCCACCGAACTTCCCGATCGAAGAAACCGGGAAGCTTCCTCTCCTTCCTCACATCATTTCTCATCACCCAAAAAGACTCAGCCGCTCCTTTTATCTGTGACTCCCAGTTCCTGATTTTCTTGAAATCAACAAGAAGATTGCTCCATCTTTTCCTGCACTGAACTGGCTCTCTGCTCACACCTCGCTGCTTACAGTATGATGAGACCAGATCCCACTTTGGTTCAAAATGGTCGGACCCCAAGGCTGAAGAAGATCTGCTGCGGCCCTTCTGAACCGCATTCTCCACGACCTTCTTGCCCTCTATGAGGACAAACGTCTCGTGCCTGGTCCATCGAGGGTGTCGTTTGGCTCTGTCGTCGCTGCTCCCATTCGGCACCTGCTGTCTGTCAACTTGGTCAGGTGTAGTAGAGCTAGCACCTTCATGTTTGTTTGAGTCTAATGCCATGAGGAGCCAAAAGGGTGCTCTTATTAGACAAAGTTTTGGTTAGATCAGAGGACTGTTCCAACAAGGAGATGTAAACTTTTGGGACGATGGCTACTCCTTCCTATATGTAATTCAGTGTCCACTGTCCTCCATTTATTGGAAACAATCCTATTTTTTAAGTAAATTTACAGCCTACTCTTCACTTGTTCTTTCCTGTGGTCACTGGCGAATTAATATTCTTCCATATAGGGCATCATCCCTCCTTATAGGTCACAGGTGCATCACTTGTTTAGGCACTGCTAATGGAAAATTTTTTGACAAGTTTTTCGATATGATTGTAGCACCGCTACATAACGATCTCAATCCATCCATGTTCTAACATGAATTAGTTAGCTACCGCTCATATTGTAACACCACGTATCAGTGTTACGTGATACACATAATTTTTTTTGTAACTCATGTAATTCATATGGGGTATCTTATGCGTTTGGCGTTACCTAATCAGTTTTCCAAGTCTTAAGGAAATGCCTTACGAGCTCAGATGTGTTGGTCAATCATCAGTTAAGGAAACTAAAAATTATTATTATTTTCTGTCAAACAAGGAAACTACAGATTTTCGTGCATGCATATTGACAAATCATTCATTCCTGATAAAGGAGAAATCGTGTTTAGAGACAACGGAAGATGCCAAAATTATATCATTATCTTCAAATCGTCATAATAGAAGAAAAAAATAAAATAATTATGGAAATATTAGCAGCTGTCATAACATCATCAATATATTTGCAATAGAACATTCATACCACACAGTTATCCATACAAACAATACCACGTATTGAAAAGGAAAAAAGTTTTTTCTATTTTAATACCCTTTTTTTTATCATTGAAGAATGAAGGTTAAAACTTAAAATCTCTTCTACACTTGAAACAAAAAATACTTTTAAATTAAGAGTTAGTGTTCGTTTGATATTGCTTATTTGGGGTGATAAGTGATGTTTAAAAAAATTTGGGAAACCCAGCTCATTTGGTAAACTATGAAAAAATCATTTATTGTTAAAAATTTATGCGAGAGAAAGCTATAAGTGAAAGCAGCTAATGAAGTATTTTCATTTTCTGATTATGCGAGAATCAATTTCGAAGAGGTGTTAGGTGTAATGATTATGCGGGAATCAGTACCAACAACACTTTTAATAAAAAAATTTACCTTTCTTTCAAAGCAAATCTGACAGCGATTATTTTCACAACACAATAATATCAAACGGTTAGTCAGTTTGTTATACTTGAATATTAAATTTAGAGTGTTGCTATTTCCACCACCTGTCCTATTTTCTCACCCACCGTATAAATTTTAAAAAACACAATCCTATTTTTCCACCCACCAATATTCCTAAAATACCCTTTTAATTATTACCTCATTTCCTCTCTCCTTTATTCTCTCTGCTCATGTATTCTCTCTCTTTGATGCCCACACATCTCTCTCATTTTCGCTATATCTTATTTTCCACGAAATTTGAAATTTGAAAACAAACAATAGTAAGTAATACAACAGTAAAACGATAAAAGAAATACAAATTTATAAATAAACACAATCCTAGACATGTATTTATAAAAAAACCCAAGCACTATTTAAACATATAAACACACCCAAAATCAACCCCAAAGTCAACTTTTTGGGTGTGTTTATAAATGGGTTTTGAGTGTGTGTAATGATGAGTTTTTGGTGTGTTTATATGTTTAAATAGTGCTTGGATTTTTTCATAATTTCAACCCCCATTTTTGGTGTTTTAGTGAAACTCCCTAAAAGAAACTACTTCACATCACGAAATTTGATGACAATGGCTGGTCAGCAGGCAAAAGATGACTAGCCCTTGAAACCAAAACGTGGCTCATGCTCCCCAATTTATAAACATACCTAGCAACCTCTTTACCCACCTTCCAAACTTTCTGGTTCGCTGACAGAAACTTATTCATCCCCAGGTTTTCAAATTTTTTATTTGTTTAAGAAAAAAAAATCATAGTCTAAGAAATACTCATCTCCCAATGCTTTAAGTAATCGTAAAGATCTTAGAAATTATATTCTAATAGGATTTCCTTATCTTTTCGCCAAAATCATTCTCTTCAACATCCAGTATCTTGTTGTCTTCTTCTTCATAAACAATTTGATTGAATGAATAGAAAAGAGAAGAAAATTATTTGAGAATTGGAGTTATGAGCACTGAAAAGTCATAAGAGGAATCATGAGCAATGAGCCATAGCTTTCTTGTGTTTTTTCTCTTTCTATCAAACGATAGGGTTACATGAGAGCAGAAGTCTGCGTTTTTTTTTTTTTCCTCTTTCTTTTTCCTTAAGTCCTTTTAAGTCATTTTAGAATGAGGTTAAATTTGTCTTTAAAAGTTCAAAGATAACGTGAGTGGAAAAATAGGACAGGTGGGTGGAAATAACAACACTCTAAATTTATTTGTTTTGTTATAGGATGTGAATATTAAAAAGCCTTTGTCATTTTATAATGGGCCTATTCAGAAAAAGCCCTTAAGAAAAAGTCAGGAAAATAAAAACCAAAAAAAGGACCCGACCCGCCTAGCGTCTAGGCGGCCGCCTAGGCCGATTTTTCCTTCTCTTTTTTTTTGGTCGAAACCTAGGCCGAGTTTTCAAACACCACTTGAACGATTTCACTTTACAAAACAATGCGTTGAACTCCATTTTCCCGCGCGTAATTGTATCAGTAAATAACTAGTTTGGAACCCTAGTTTTTTTCCAGAGCAAAAGAAAATGGAGAGGGAAGAAGAAGACTCGGTGAGCGAGCTTTTGAGAGATCGATTCAGAGTCTCCACCATCTCTATCGCCGAAGCCGAAGGTACCACATTCTTCAATCTTCGTAGTTTCATTAACTGGATCGTCTTGTTTTGTTTCTGGTTCTCACTTCTCACTTCTCAAATGCCATTTCACTGCACAGCGAAGAGAAACGACATGGAAATATCGGGACCCGTGATGACTTGCATTGCCGATTTGGCCTTCAAATTTACTGGTATTTGTCTATAACTTTGATATTTGCCATGCAATTAAAAATGTAAGATAAATTGCGATAATCCATTTCCTTTTTGGGTCATAAATTCCAAATTGCGATAATCATACAATTCGATTGGTGCATTCAACTGACAGAAACAGAATGGTATGGTTATTGTGCTTAAACATTCCAAATGAAATGCCTCTTTTACTAGAAAGTGAGAAATTGTAGTTTCAGAATTGGGTTCTTAGAGTTTGATAGACAAACGAAAAGTCTGATTAGGAAGTGGGTATACTTTCGTCAATGTGGATCGAAACAATTCCGGTTAGATTTGTTAGTAAGAGGGTTGTTGAGAGATAATTGTGGGATGATTTTGAATATTTTGATCTGTGGAACACGTTCTGCATGTCTAATTTGAGCATCAAGACTAAGAATATTGCTCATGAAGTAAAGAATTGTGACATCATACAACTCACCCCTAAGAAATTTGTATGTCATAAATTTGTTCAGCCTAACAATTGTAGTGAAAGAAAGTCTGGACTCCAGAGTGATACAATATCCTGTATGAAAAATGTCAATAATGGGTTCCAATCATCACTAGGAAAAAGCTGAATTGAAACTAATGTAAGCCTTTCTATTTTGCAAAACAGAACAGTTGGCAAAGGACCTGGAATTATTTGCTCAACACGCTGGTCGTAAAACTGCAAACATGGAAGATGTCATACTTTCTGGTGAGTGTTCAACCCTTGGAGTTTAAATGGATATCAACTTCAACGAAATTGAATGATATACCAATTTGCCACAAGCTCTCATGAACCTAGTTATTCTGTTCTGTCTTCCGTTTTTGTATGTTTGAACTCTGGATGTACTAATTCTTCTTGGAAAAACATGGTTTCAGCACATAGAAATGAACATCTGGCTGCCTTACTGAGGTCCTTCAGCAATGATCTAAAAGCCAGAGAGCCCCAATCTGAGAGGAAGAGAAAGAAATCATCAAAAAAGGAAGACCAAGCAACTACCAGTGTAGTCCATATTCCAGATTCTTAGCTGGGTACGTCTCTACCTTAACTTGATTACTAAAGCACACCAAAGAATTGGATATCTCATGTAAGAAAGCTGCGACTTGTTTGACCTTAACTTCTGCATCATGTGACTTGCTGAAGAATCCCGAGTAAATACATATGAAAACTTAGCTTGAGTTCAAACACCATTTGAGATTATACTACTACCATTATCCTGCGTCATTCAATATATGACTTAGATTTCTCTCCTGTTTAATTTTCTGGTCACTGAAATGGTTGGAAAGTATCAAAATGGAAAGCGTTACTATTGAGAAGCTTTTCCCCATACTTGCCCTAAATTTGGAGAAAGGGATAGCACTATTTGTTATTCCCAATCAATAAAGTTATGACACACGTGATAACACTTCCACTTGGCATATCATTATTGGACGGCGATAACTGCTATGCCCCTTCCAACTAAGTTTTTCTCCCAAATTTGGTTATTAGCGGGTCATGCCAATCAGAATTCTGGGTACTTTTCCACTGGCCCAATTGAAAAGCTCCTTACCCACCGGCCCCCACACTAAAAAGGTTTTTGTCTTGTATGAGTAAATGGCCCGAACCAACCAATTCTCAATTTTGTAATGCAAGAACTTCCATATGTGAACAGTTTGTAGCAAAAACATAAGAAGGTGTACTTGGATAAATCGTAGGAAAAGCGGGAAGATGCTCAAATGTTCATTTGCTTGGATTGTTGTTTCAAAATGATGTGTAAAAATTCAAGTTTTTGTCGTTGCTGGGGGAGGAGGGGTGACGAGATTGAGTTACTTTTTGTCAGAATCACAGGTATATATTTTCTTTTTGGAAACAAAAGGACCAGAGATATTTTCAAAGCCAAAAAGGGGTCAGTTTTTTTAGCCTGGGAGAGCGCCATGAAAAAGAGTGCTGTTGCGTTTCAGAGTTTCTTTAAAGGTTAAAAGCCTTGATGGTCCAGGGAAAAAATAAATAAAAGCCTC